CAGCCCTAAACAAGGGACCAGAAATTAGCTGATGTCAGGGCCCTTGTCAAATGAGGTCCCAGCACCAGCTCAGGAGGTGAGCCCACAGAACGGGGAACATTAGCAGGGAAAGCAGTAGAAAGGAGGTGAAGTGCCAGCAACAGTGGGGGGGCGCAAGCAAACTCAAAGTCGTCAGTACTTCTGGCACACCTGTGTTTACCTGAATAAAGGCAATTAGCCATTCACTGGCTCCTTGTGATGTTCACATTACTCATAAGAAAGGTAAAAACTTCTTTCAACATGCAACAAATAATTTCAATGCTAAAAATGATTTTAATCCCCAAATATTTGGAGAAGGGGTGATATCCAAAATTGTCTAAGATTATAAGCCATGAATAAAGAGCTTATTTTGACTAACAGAATCAATACAGGGGAAATATATATATAAAAAATTTTTTTACCAGTAAATAGACTCCACTTGGAAAATGCTTTCAAAGGGTTTCTCGCACACTTGTTATGTACTCAGTCAGCTTTTACACAGCAGTTTAGAGAAATCCTACCTGATGTGCTAGAATCCATCCATATCATTTGTCTCTAATTAACATGACAAAGTTGAAATACTTATTAGAAATTTGGTTAGAGTAAGAGAATTTCTCAACAATATAGCTCTTTGTAGCTCTATACACTCCTTAGCTATTGACCAGTGACTTGAAAGAACAACAAAATGATTTTTTTAAGTTTATTTATTTTGAGAGAGAGAAACAGTACAAGTGGGGGAAGGGCAGAGAGAGAGGGAGACTGAGAATCCCAAGCAGGTTCTGTTAGTGTGGAACCTGATGCAGGGCTCGAACCCATGAAACCATGAGATCATGCATGACCTGAACTGAAACTGAGTCGGATGCTTAACTGACTTGAGCCACCCAGGTGCTCCCAGAATGATGCTTTTTAATTGTCTGCACTGATAACTTGTTACGTGTGTGTAAAACGAAAGTAAACTGGGCATATTTGAGGGAAATGCATAGGGCATCAGGGCATATATGAGGAAAAGGCATAGGTTTAATTTGTGGCCTTTTAGATTTTGTTTTACTCAATCAACACTACTTATATGGCATTTCCTGTTTGCCAGTTACTATTATAAGTGCTTTAGAAATTTTAATTTACTTAATCATCATAATAACCCTCTGAGGAAGGCACTATTATTAATCACTGCCATCTTTCTTGAGCAAACTGAGGTTCTGAGAGGTTAAGTGACTGGCTTGGAGTCACATGCAGCTAGAGCCCTGGTAGTCTTGCTACAGAGTGTTATTAACCAGTATACTCTGTTGACTTTTTTCCCCTTCTTCTTTTTTTTTTTTTTATGTTTATTTTATTTTTGAGAGAGAGAGAGAGAGACAGAGTGTGAACAGGGGAGGGGCAGAGAGAGGAGACACAGAATCTGAAGCAGGCCTCAGGCTCTGAGCTGTTAGCACAGAGCCCAACACGGAGACTGAACTCACGAATTGTGAGATCATAACCTGAGCTGAAGTCAGACACTTAACTGACTGAGCCACCCAGGCGCCCCTTTTTCCCTTCTTTCTAAAGAATCTTGGAATCAAGAGTGGGTATCTATAAATCAATTATCTACATAGGATGGTAGAGTAAAAACAAAAAAACTTTCCTTTTCCTTTAGAATGAATATAAGGCAAGACATTCCATCTTCACCTAGCCCTCTTTTAACTGGATGTCACAACCACCACACCCTGGGGATCACCCTTCCACGTTTCTAGAATCTTCACCATTCTCTCCAATCCCTGGCCCCCTTTGATCTTCGTATGCGTCACTCACAACCCAGCCCTGAGTACTTCTGTCTTCATTCTGACCTAGCCCATACTTCCCAGAGCCCAGAAAGATGTTTCTAAAACACAAAATTGTGTTCTGGCCTATTTCAAATGTCTTTAATGTCACTGCTTCATTCTGTGATAAAAGTCCTGTAATTTAGCCTAGCAGATGGAAGTGCTTTGTGTTCAGGTCCAGTTCATTAGCTGGCTCCATACGTAGCACTCAGTAGGTGGCCTCTTTCTCCCACATGTCCTTTTGCTTAAGCAACGTTGAGCTGTTTACCCTTCTATCTGCTCTGCTGTTTCTCTTCTAGAATTCCCTTCACCCTTCTCTCCACCTTGCATCACAGGGAGCTTCACTAGAGAATTCTAATGCACCCTTCAAAACCCAGCTCAAGCATCACCTTCTTCCAACTGATGCAGATGCCCTTTGCAGTGCTCCTGTCGTGGCCAAGGCATTTCTCTCCTGCCCTGCACAGGCCTCTCCAAGTGTGAACTGCAGACAGCAGCAGCAGCAGCATATGGAAGACTGTTGGATGTGCAACTTCTCAGACCCCACTTAAGATCTACCAAATCAGAATTTCTGGGATAAAGCCTGACAAGTCATAAATCTTCTGCATGCGAAGGGTGGAGCAGCACTGCCCTGGACCTTTTCAGAGAACACACCATGTCTCATTGGGTCTCTTACTGACCTGAATGAAGCGAAGGGCCAATAAATGACCAATGAGTGAATGACCATTGGGTTAATCCCTTGATTAATTACATCTTATGTATTTTATCTAAGAAACACTGAATAGTTCATCGGCGCCTTCAAATATTCTTAGATTTGGAATTTGTCAATAATTTCAAAATGGTTAAGGCTCAGGTGTACTGTTTGGCACTATTATACAGGATACTGAAGTAATGTAAAATTTAGAGCTGGTTAAGACAAGCATAAAAATGCATAGAATCTTTCTCAAAAGTACATTTTTATGTATTCTACTGTACAGCAGAAGGTGGTCCCCTCTGCTTCAAGCTTTAAAAGATTATTTGCAGTTTTCCTTAAATAGTCATCTTTCTTTAGACTATTTTTTAGATGTAGTTTAGGAAGGAAAATGCAAATTGTACAGCTACAGTAAAGACTGCTACATATCAAAATATCTCAGACTCCTTTGGTTTCTCACAAGTCCTTATGCTATCTGTGCTCAGAAAGCTTTACTGCAGCACTTTATGTTAAAATTAGGAAGGCCACTAGTAGGACTTACTTTTAACCGTTTTTCAGGTATAATTTCACTCCTCTAAAACAAACTGATGTAAGAGATATTCTATTAAATATTAACTGCTCGCCAACGTCATAAGCACAAAGTACCTTAATTTTGAAACAATCTTCTGTACTGTTGTTCCACAAAGTAGAAAAGGAAAGCATACCATTCTTTAAGTCTAACACAGCCCCACCCTCCTTCACAGCCTTTTGACTGGGAAATCAGTCGGAGTAAATGAACATTGAAGTTCTGGTAGTCAAATAGATAACTATAATTGTGTCCTTTATACAGAACTGTTTGAAGCACAGATTTGGCAAAGAACAGATGTTTTATTTATCTTGAGGTTAAGGACTTTATAGATAGCAGAGTATAAAACAGCATCTGCTAGTCAAACTGCTGTCCAATGGACATTTAAGTAAACAGACAAATAGAAAAACAAGGGACATAAGGACAGGTAGGGTTGGCATAGATGGGAATTACACCTCTCCCAACACTCTCCCTCCAAAAAAGGCTCAATAGAGGCAAAAGAGGGGAGATGGCCAAGTTAGAAATGTACCCAAAGGTTCTTCAGCAACTGATCTATGCTGCTGGCTAGTGTCTTCTGCTGCTTGGTATGTGACAGGGTCAAACACGTAATTTCTTTCTTCCTCACAAATACTTCCATTTCACTAACCGGACAGCATCTTGAGGTCTGCTTACCAATGCTTATATTGGTTATAGAAATACATGAGGAATTTCTTTTGAAAACTTTCCCTATTTCTGTTTTGTTAGATGATATACTTTTAAAAGTGGAGGATAAGATGAAGTGTTGAACAAAGGGAACAGTTGGTCAATAAATGTAAATGGCTCAGAAAAAATGTTGAAATGTATTAATTAGAAATCAGAGGTGTAATCAATTTCCATTGAGGCATCTTAAGGACACCTAAAGTGCTACACCTAAAGCGCTACTCTAACAAAGACTTAGGGTAACCCCACATATTCAGGGCCATTTGCTTGTTTCAGCCTTTATGTTTCATATGATTTAGTTTCTCAAGAATGCTTTCTCCCTTCCTATGTTTTCTCTTTTGTAGGCCAGCCACAGAGTCCACTGAGATGAATGTGTAATCTTAGTGACATGTTGATCCTGGTTGTCAGCAAAGGAGATCATTTCCATTGTTTTGGAATACTGAAAACAAATTAAGTTTAAATAGCAAGAGAACACAGATGACTTTCCTGGATTAGAGACCTCTGCAATTTAGGTTGTACCTGTAATTAAATCTGATTAAAAACGAATATTTCCAGTTTTTTTATTCTCTGGAAAAATTCCAAAAATCCTTTGAGCAGGTATGCTTTAGAAACTGAACCCTGAGTAGATGAAGTGATTAAGCAAATATATAGGTTTTCATAATAAACTCTAGTACAAGAGCAACAGAAAGCTAGAGAAAAAAATATATGTACATGTGTATATAATTATGTGTGAATGTGTGTGTATATATATTACGTATATAATACAACATATATATGGGCAAATATAATGGATAAATAGTTGAGCACACAAAAATTATATTCAAAATTATCCCAGACATTATTTTTTTTCATTAAGAGACTTAAGCTATACAACTAAAGCTAGATGTGACTCAGTACCAACACCCCCTTAGTATAGCCAGATCCACATACATTTGAGCAACTACAGCATCAGAATTCCAGCAAACCAGGAATTCCATATAGGGAATATAAATGCATCCATTCGCTTCCTCTCATTAACTTAACAGTCAGGCTTTGAACAATGAGATTGATTAACATATTCATTGTTCTCCTATGCTTTTGCCTCAAATTCTTACCTCTTTAGGGATCAAAGCTATCTGAATACTTAGCAAACAAATGCTCCTGCAAAACCATCTCTGCAAAATGTAGTGGCACCAAAAGTACCAGAATGGATTTTTTACTGTTTCAAGGGACCTACAAAAATGCTAAGGAAAACAAATCTATGAACCAATTTTATTTTTATTTGCATTTAACATGATTATACACATTCATGTGTCTAACAAGATCTGCACTGTTACATTAAAAATACAGTACAATAACATTCAACATGAGGTACTTCATATTTATATATTTTTCCTTCATAAATAATGCTGTAAGCTACTAAATTCAAGCACTCTGATGCACAAGTGGCTAGTGTCTTGAATTAGCCGAGCTTATTTAAACACCTTAAAAAACAAAAAAGACAGTTCAGTGCAATAATTATGTAGAAATTAGACCATTTACTTAAATACTATATTAAGATATGCTTAAAGAATGTTACATAGAACTGCTAGCCTAGTTCCCCTTTATCCCCAGCATGAACAATGACAAAGACTGCCAGATACGTTGGGAAAAGCATCTACAGAGTATTCTGTTTATTAATAAAGTTGTGTGTATACACTTGAGTTGTCTGCCTTGTGAGAACAATAAAAGCTACAAAATTTGAGATTACCAAAGAAAATAAAGTAAGCACGTTAGCTTTCATTCCATGTTGTTGAAAATGCAAAAGGGAGAATAGGATTTGAAACATAAAATTTCTTAGTCTAAACACAATTTTCAAATTTAACCCACAGCTCTTGACACCAGCCAATCAAGGTGGCGGATCTGTCTTTTCTTTTTTGGGTAATTAATATTAAGTAACATAAAATTAAGCTCTCATACCCCCAGTGTACAGGATCTCCTTCTGCTCTCTACCAGCAGTTTCCTAGTCATGTGGAGGGCATCTTGCTAACAGGAGCACTGACTGTGAGTGTTACCAAATGAGCAATCTTCACTCTGAGGTTATCACACCCACCTCAACAATCTGAGATGATGAAATTAGTGCTAAATCAAGTTTTTTTCTCCTCTGGCTTAAAAATGAGTGCCTTTGAAACAAATACATAGTCTATCAATTTGCACGGTAGCTATGAGTTACTGAAATGTTTAACCATAATTTAAAAGCAAAATCCTGTATAGAAGTATTTTTTAAATTGAAAACATACCTTAGTTTCATAGATACTTTGCCAAAACTACTATCTGTCATCTCCCTAATAAGAAATAATTGTTAGATAATTTTGGAAAGTTGTCCTGGGAGTACTCATCTATAATCACCAGTAACAGCTTTTGATCATCTATGCTAACAGGCATAGGCAATGGCAAACATGATTAAAAAACACTTCCCATAATCCAGTGTTCTCCTCCGTCAGGGAAGCTGGCCCAAAGCAACAAGCCCACATCTACAGGGGAAAAAGTGGCCCAGAAGCACAGTGAATAAGATACGGGTAGTCACTCACTGGGGCCTTTCTCAGGCCAGCAGGGGACCATCTGTGTCTCACCTCTTACTGGCCAGGAAGGGAGGAGACAATTCCTGAGTCGGCAGACACACCTGCATGCACATGGACGCACACCGACGCCCACAACGCACACACACCCACCCACCCCAGGACTAACCCCTGGCTCAGACAAGCCAGCTTGGGGCTCACAGAGCAGGAGAAGGAGGAGGCCAGGGACCACACTCTGGGTGGTGGGGGAAGCCACCTCAGGATCACACTGAGCAGAAACGCTGCTCAGAAACACATGGATACTTTAGCTGGAAGTGAACACACTGGACACTCCCAGGGTCACAGGCACTAAAACATCACAAGCCGTCACTGAAGGAGAAGTTTTGGATGAGCTTTCCCCTCCTTTGTTTACCTTAACTATGTACAAATAAGAGGGCTCGATGGGATGCTGATGCAATGAATATTAGGTACAATCAAGTATATCGCTCCAAACCTTTTTTTTAAAACCCTGCAGGCATATATTGGCACTTTAAGATGGCCAAAGGCCAAATTCTAGCAGTCTAGGAACAGGACATAATTATAATTAACTAAGAAGATAGTATGTAGTCAAAGTAGATCAGGTAAAATATATTTCAGATTTAAAAAGAAGAAAAATCAATGAATAAATCTATCTTATTACAATAACATGTAGTGCTACAAAACTAATTGTTACTCCATACATCTGAAGAATTGTTTGGTCCTCTTTTCATGGGAAAAGGGGAATAAGATTCTATACAGTGTAATTTATAAAAACAAGCAAACGGTGAAGATCAGAAGCAAAGAGGGGAGAAGACTGGCTTTTTCAAATGGTGTAGTCTACCATGCCATCAAATAAACTATTATGTAGAATGGGACTTTTGTAGGTTTCCTTTATAAGCTATTTTAGTTTAAATTAATAGGCCTGTGATTTTTTTTCCCTACTAACAAAAAAATTTGTAATTTAGTTAGTTGTAAAAGAAGTGTCTGTACTGTAATAGTCTGTCTTCTAAACTAAAAGAATAAAAAACTGTTCGTAGAAGTCATGGCCCAAGCAAACATCCAATTTCCTGTTTTCTTATTTTACACTGATGCTTTGCAGTGTAAAATTTAATAATCTTATGAATTTAGAATTTAAGAAAAAATAATGCCCAGAGTAAATTATTTAAAATGAAATAAGAGCTCAACATGACTACTGTCTACTTTCTAAATGTTACTTAGTATGAAGCAAAACTTCTTTCAGAAATTGTACACAGATTTACCTGTAATTTTTTTTTGGGGTGGGGAGGGTGTTCTCTTAAAAATAATTCTGTTCATTGTTATTTTGGACTATTTACTTCTATCTGTCAAAATAAAGCCCTAAAGGAAATTCAAGGTGACCCAAACATTTTAAGAGGGACATGACTGGGAGGTGAGTGGGGCAGTTGGAAAAGAGCACAAATTCTCCCCAGGTGTATAGACGCAACTCTAAAAACCACAAAGTCTTAATAAGAACTTGGCTCTTTTAAGCATATAGTTAAAAGCTGAATGCTGCGTTTTTGCCTGTACATAATTAAAAGGTTGAAAGAAATTAGAAACTGCCTACAGCTTCATTCATTACGAACTACCTGCGCTGATCACGTATCTGCAGATGAGCTAAGCATCAAGCAAGAAGGAACCAGATGTGCACCTCAGAGCTCACACTGCTTCGGAAGGTGTTTTCAAGCATAGAATATAAGTTCAGGGATCTGCCCTCCCTGCACCCCAGTGCCATTGGTGCTATCCGAGGAGCACTGGAACTGGACAGTCACCTTGCCACACTGAACTTCTGTCATGCCTTCTTGTCCGAAGTAGCTGAGTTCATTGCCATCCAGTATCACGCTGGCCGTGTAGAAGGTGTCTGGCTCAATCTGCACTGGGTACTCAAACCACACAGGGAAGGTATTGCTGGAGCCGTCTGAGAAGTACTTGCTCAAGTTCTGCCCCAGAACAACGCCCTGCCGCTTGAGTTCAATCTTGGCACTGTACTCTGCAGAGCCACAGCTGGAGCCATACAGCCCAAAGCCGGCGATGAACACTCTCTTGTCAACCGCAAACTGGATGCTGTCGCAGCGGCCCCGGTAACGCCACTGGTTGCTCCGATAGGCACATGACTGGAAACGGTGACAGCGCTGGGGGACGAGGCCCTTGCGGGCTTTACTCACAAACTGCAAATCGGGCTTTTTGGCTGCAGTGTACCAGAGGAAGATGTCATTGGTCTCATTGAGAGTTAAAACTCCAGACTGGGCAGCACCATTTGCAAAATCATCCAGCGCCATCGTAGGTATGCGTATCAAGTAAAGTGCCTTTCCGAGGACCTTGCGTTTATTTTCAATGCTCAAAGCTAGATCTTGTCGCTGGCATTCCACTTCAGCCCAGTTGAGAGCTGCCTCAAAAACCACAATTTCTTTGGCATTCAGAGTTTCCCTGCGGAGGATACTTTCTAGAGTTTGGAAGTCGATATCGCAGAATCCCTCAGACTTGAGAGCTAACTCAGCCTGGGCATCGATCACCTCCCAGCAACGCTGGGTCAGGTCTGGCTCCTCAAACAGGCAGCTCTGGGAGAGGAGCACACAGGCGTTCTTGGCGCTCAGGCTGGTCTCCAGGAAATTAACGCAGGCTCTGGCGAGGTGAGGGACAATGTATTTTTTGGCAGCATAAAGAGTGGCCAGCACTGTGTCAGCAGCCAAGTCAATTTCATCACAATAGATATATCTGAAAGATAGCACATGGCATATAAATGGAATTTTCACAAAATGAGTATGTCCAGCAAGAAAAGATGCAACTACTTTCAAGTTAGTTCCAAAAAAACTGTCTTACATGATAGTTATTACAAAAATGATTAGGGATTAAAGATACCTCTGAAATATGTTCATAAATTATTAGTATCTCAACTCAGCAGTAACTTTGTATAATTAAAGACATTAACTTTGTGTGACCATTCTAGCCTCTATTTTATAACCTGCATTCAATGTCTTTTCAAAACAGAATAGAAGGTACTAGAACTGTTTGAAAAAGAATTGCATTATCAGAGTTAATATTAGCAAAAAAATAGCAAAGTTTCTATTATATAGCCATATTGTATTTAATCAAAGAATAATCTCCCTATGTTCTAGAAGATATATATATATATATAGTTTTATTTTAAAATTTTCTGTACATTCATATGGAGACAAATGCCTCTAATACTATAATGTTGACAATGACTGCATCTTAATGCTATTAATGAAGTATGACTTGAATTTTTCCTAAACACAAAATAAGATCTGAGTTTAAAAAAGATATTTTTAAGTAGTTCTAAGCTTAATAGATTGTCAAATATGGGTTTCAACATTATCTTCCAGTTGCCTTTACATAGAATCCAACATACACTTTGAATCTGGCTTTTCTTTTTTTAAACTTTATAATCTTTCCTCTCTCCCCCACACATTTCTTCTACCTTCAGAATTAAAGAATATACTGTTTCCAGATATATTTAATTAAAACACAAAAGCAAGAAAGCCCAAATATGCACTATTTTTAGGATTCTGTAAAGCATCCCTGTCAGGAGATAAAACATTTCTTGGTGACTTGGCTGTGTGTGTGTGTGTGGCAGTTTCTCTAAATGGTATGTGAAGGTAAAAAAAAAAAAAAAAATCACCTGCTTCTTTTAGATTGCTATGGTTGAGTTCAAGAATCAGTGAGAACTGCATATGGGTGAAAAATACAAACTAATAGCACATAAATTTTTAAATTTCTCTAGCTAAGATGTTTAGCTCGTTGCTATGAAGTTTTTCTTTAGTTACTATATTTTAACTTCATGAAACACATTTAACAGAAGATTAGCAATGGCTTCTGTGATCAAAGTAAAAAACGTCATAAGTAAAATGTCCACAATCACAAATGAAACCTCCATTTTTGCTCCCAGGAAGCTCTTTTTCTTCTGACAGGCTAAGCCATGTACCACTGGCAAGACTGATTCACAAAATACCGGCAGCTTAGTGACACTCTGAGAGAACCAGGACCTTGGGGAGGAATCTGGAACATGGTCAGCACTTTGTAGTTCTTACCCTGGAACAAGGAACAGTGAGCAGTGTTCCCTTTTTCTTGACAATTCCCTTTCTAGGAATACTGGCTACTCAGCCACTGGCTACACAGTGCACCCGTCTGGAAAACCCAGCCTTCCCTATCTCTGGAGACAGTGCAGTACTGATCAGCTATGGCCTGAGAGCAAACAGCACCTTACTACATTTCTTATTCTTACCACTTTTGGTGAACTGCATGTATAATTTTAAAAAGCTGTATTGAGATATATTCTAGGTAATATATCTATAAGAAAAGATGCTTAGCAATGACAGGTAAAATGTAATTGTGTTATTCTTACTCATGTTTCCTAATTATGTATACATGTGGCTGAATCAACATAGCACTACTGGACTGCAGTGCAGTCAAAATGCTCAACTTGTGTTAGCGTTCTCCTCCGCGAGAGACAATGTCAGATACACAAAGCTGACTTGACTGGAAAAAAAACAAAACAAAACAAAAACTCTTCCAGGTAAAACTGGTTTCTGTACACATCTCTCTAAAAGATTATAAAGGTCACTAACTGTTGGTTGTTTAAAAGTGGTGAATTAGTTTCACCTTTTGGTATTTCACATGCTCACTTATCTTTAATTTCCCTATTTCCCACTGTCAAAGTTTCAGTTAGAAGAAATTAGATTTCAAAACTATAATATAAAGAATTGAATACTTTAAGTTCTAGAACTAAAGTACTTATTTTTCAGTAGAAGCAGACAATAAATATATTGCAACTATTTGTAGGATTATTGTCCAACTTGCTGACACACAGAATAATTTTTTTCAACAAACGAATTTATTCCAGTGAACCAAAATCCCTACAGCAGCAGACAACCTTGATTTATCAAAAATAATAAAGTATTATTTAAAATAATCATCAGATTTTAATCACACTGTCTAGCGCCAGCACACATCAAAGAAGCGGATTCTATTTAGCTGATCACCATGTACCAGATTCTGAAAAAGACCACAAGACCTAAAACTATCTTTTAAATAAGTATGTATCTTACAGCTTCACGTTTTTATATTATCAATTAAAGTTCTCCTGTATAAATACATATAAAAGTATAGAAAACTATTCATCTGTCTCAAAAACATCTCCTCTGCTACCAAATGCAAATGCTTATCCTTGAGAAATGGTTATCTGATTTTATATAAGAGTAAGTATATGCATGTGTGTATAAAGATCAGATTATTTCAAAACAGTAAGTTCTGCATTTGTTCATAGGTCACAGTAACTCCTAGAAAACTCAGAAATCTCTTAACCGGTGGTACTTAAATGAAGGTATATAATTTCTGGAAGTGTAAAACAAAAATATAATTCATGTCTTTAAAGACTTCTTCCTACACAATGCTATCAGAGATAACATGCTCTATTAGATAATGCCTACTTGAGAAAGTTATTTTTCTTTAATTGTGAGTCATTAAAAATCAAATCAAGGTACATGCCACTTGCTCCCAAAAATCCCATGCCAAAGTGTTATTATAAATGCCTGCACCATTCCACATGCTTTCCACCAAAAGAGGCACGACAGTTTTCCACAAAAACATTTACAAGGTAAGCAGCTCCCTCTTTCTTCATCATTTTCCCTTCCTGTTACGCTAAACTCACATTTAACTGTGAAACCAGCAGAGGACAGACATAGCATAAACAAACTCTAAACAAATGAACGGTGCTTACTTCAGCATAGCGAGAAAAGCAGCAGGCTCGACATCTGGTATACGGATTTCATCTTTGTCCTCAGCAAGTTCTCCGTAGAACATTGCATGGAACACAGAGCTCCCAACAGCTAAAACATACTGTGGAAAAACGGAAATCTTATTTCAGGCACTAAACTACAAGCATTTTCAGTAAGTCAATCTAGAAAAACAACTCTAAGCAGTCAGGTTTAGTGGACATGGAGCACCTACACCTGCTCTTTTTTTAAAAGCCAAGGGACAGTGTTACTTGCTGTGAAAGCATGAGATTGGAGCTCATGCAAGCCAGTCTTTATGCTGTTAATTACCTTAAGGCTTTAAGAGATTAATGGACAAGTTCCCTCATTACAAAATAAAAAAATAAAAACATATCTAACCAATGTCTAAGGGAGGAATAATAAATATGACTTCCCTAACCTGTCGCAACAACTTTCCATGACTGGAGAGTTAAAAGGGCATGTTTTTGTGTGGGATGTAAAGCAGGGTAGAGAGAAACAAAGAAAAAAAATTAAGCGTGGCCAAGACCCTTTGGAGAGTCTGTGCCTTCTCTGTGATGGGTGAAACACACACTGCCTGCCATCGGCAAGCTGCCCACCCCAACCAAGTTTCAGACTTATGGAGAGGGTCCCTCTTTGTAAATCTCAGGACTAAACCGGTAATGCAGCTGTTGCTTACTTTGTGTCCTGGCAACCGCTGAGTCCCACCTGGTGGCCCAACCACAAAATGTACATCTGCCATCAAATCATTATTGAACATCACTGCATTTCTATAAACAGAGGCAATTCATTAATTCACAGCAGCCGGCATTTTTAAAACCCCTCCCCAACATAAAAAGCCCACAAAAGATTCACAAGCTAAGGAACAGGAACTTCAGGGTAAAACTACAAATAAAGATTCCAACTAAACAACTCTGTTTGTGATCATTACAAACACATGGGAAGTAACTGAAGTGAAAAAAAAAAGTTACACAAACTTCTCATCAGGCTAAGAACAGATAAAAGGTTTCTCTCTTCAAACCTCCTATGGCCGGTCCATAGACATGATCCTGTCACTTAAATGTTACAGCTTGCAAAAACACTTTTATCTAAGAGGAAAACAGCTGTACTGTTTTGGAAAAGATACAAGGCAGTTTTCCATTACCAGTAAAGCTTCTGGGAAAAGAGGAAACACAGATTTATGTTAAAATTCATTACAGGTTGTGCAAAAGCAGAAACTTCAACACAGGAAAACTTTGCAAGTAAATATGCTGGCCCGGAACCTACCTTTCTCGAATGGTGGGATAAAGACCCTGCCAGTTTGGGGCTGGAATAAGGTTGTTGTTACTGAGGTTCTGCTGGTGGTACTGCTGGACAGTGGTGCTGCTGGAGCTGGCTGGTTTTTTACGAGGGAATATATCAGCAGCCATCTTCTTCTTCTTTTTAGTCTTCAAGGTAATTATTTCATAACAAACTGGGGGCAACTTGCTGTTGCTGCTGCTGCTGTTGCTGCCGCTGCTGCTGGTATTTGTTTTCTTTGAGCTTTTCTTGGACCTATTCTTTACTGTCTCTGGAAGCATCAAGAAGAAGGTGAGACATTTCATGTTCTTTTCCTTGTCATCTACCATGAGTACAGTATGTCTCTCTTTACAGCTAGAGATCCCAAATTGGTGCAAACATCAAGGAAAAGAGGCTAGCATGAGCCAAGATGTTAATAGAAACCAAAAAGCTGATGTTTTGCTTCTTTTCTCAGCCGGACAAGGTGACCTTTTCACTATGTTGAATAGAAACTGGCTTTAAGTTTTATCCAGTACTAGGTCTGCTAAATACATCTCCATCATGATTCCTCTTTCTCTTATTTGCTCATAAAAATAACCCAGTTTCCCAGATCACCTGAAAATGCTACCCTGAGCGAAGATGACAGGCAGAGAGCCGCACTGCTTGTTCTCTGAATTAGGTTAGCAAGATGTGCTGGAGCCGCACGAGTCTGTTCAGCCGGCTGAAGTTGTGTGGTGAATGGATCGGAGGAGAGTAGGTATTACAGCCCTGCAGATGGAGTCAGACAGCCAGTGCTCCGAGCCAATAGCTGAAGTCACCAATCATGATTGGACCAAGCAAAACAGTGACACCTATTGTAACGTGCATAGCTCTGATGTTAAAGGAACAGCAGTTGCATTCTGTTGTCTCCTGTATTATTGTATATTTAAATAAGATAAACAACCTATGAAATCTATCTGCAAACCGGAAAGGAACAGTTTGTGCCCACAGATTTCCTTTCAGTAGATATACATTTTAACTTCCCCAGCTAAACAAGCAGGATCAATTAACAAAGGGTAGGACTGAGATCTACTCTGTATTTCTAGTAAAATCTTTATCCTGGCAACACTTAGTTTCAAATACTTCAAACAAAATCCTTCACTCTTCCAGCTAAAAGGGATTATTAATAGTAAAACCATACTAAACAACACATTTATTACAGCTTAATGGAAAAGAATGTTGTTTTTCTTTCTCCAGTCTCTTTGAATGCAAGTTAGTCTAGTGCAAAATAAGAGAGATGAGGTCATGTGTTCATTTTACCTCCCAACATTTTCTAGTTCCTGTAATGATCTCTGACAGGAGTTCCAGGTCAGAAAATATTTTTAAATTAGTCTAAGATTATACCAGTAGGTTTAGCTGCACTGAGACAAATTTTAGATATAAAAATAAGATTTAAATGAGACAAATCTGCTAATCAGTTTTTAAAGGTTGTAATTCACTAAAAATATATCAAATGGGGGCCCTGTTCAGGACCTCAAAATCCAGCCTAAATGTTGTGGCCACATTTACCTTGTCATAATTTTAAAGAATATTATCCACAACTTCTAACACAATACCAATAATAAGGCTATTTAAAATGACACACGTTCTGATGCCGCCTATTAAAATGCAAACAGGTTCTCTCTGCCTGGAATCAGAAGAATAAAAACTACTACTTATACGTTTTTCAAAGATGTGAACCCCCCAACAATTTCTAGCTTTGTTGAATAAGAAAAAACGAAACACCTGCTGTAACTTTCACATTTATTTACTTCTTTTTTTTTTTCCTAGGAGAGAGAGAGAGAGACAGCGTGAGTAGGGGAGGGTCAGAGAGAGAGGGAGTCACAGACTCTGAAACGGGCTCCAGGCTCTGAGCTGGCAGTCAGCACAGCCTGACACGGGGCTCGAACCCACGAACCGAGAGATCATGACCTAAGCAAAAGTCGGACGCTTAACCGACTAAGTCACCCAGGCGCCCCTACATTTATTTACTTCTAAAGAGGGACTAATTAGATTTAATCTCACCCCATCTATCTAGATTACTCTCATTTGTTCCAAGTGCAGCCGCCATTTGCTGCTCTCCCCCCCAACACCTAACGCAGACTTCATGGCCATGGTTCTGTTTATTGCACAGCATTCATCTGAATAATGAGTGCCTGACAGAGTGAGGGCTCAATGAATGGAGCTATGATGATTATTATAATTAATAATCTGCTGCAGATAACACACCAAAATCAAACTTTTAATCCCTCTAGATCATGAGACTGAGTCAAGGAATGTCCTCTTTATTGTCATCATTATTACTCTTAAAATTCAAAAGCCAGTGCAAGACAGACTGTGTATGTAGGACCACAGCCTTTAGCACAGGTTATTCAACCCCATTTCAGATGGACCCTGAAGTGCTGCCTAGTTATTACAATTACTGTGTTCCCAATCACAGGGCTACTGCAAGCATACAGACACACACACACACACGCACAAACACACACACACTTTCAAATCATATATTACAGAGAGAGAGATATCTAGAGATTTGTTTTTAAAGCACATGGTGAAAAGTATAAATAAAGAAGGAAAAAATGAGCTCCTACTTGAGCTATCTACCCAGACTATGGTTAAAACCAAAGGACTTCCCTCCTGATGGCCAGCTACTGAACTTCCTGACAAAATCCTAGGAAAGCCCCCATGACAGGAAGGTCTTTTTGGTCCTTCTGACCAGGATAGTCCCACACTTACCTGGCTTTCAGGTCAGACAGTAACCAATTAGAATGGAAAGGGAAACAACCTGCTATGAGATAGACTCACTAATAAATGTCAACTGGACAGACAAAATAGAAGCATAGGGGCACCTGGGTGGCTCAGCTGGCTAAGTGCTAGACTCTTGGTTTTGGCTCAGGTCATGATCTCATGGTTTGTGGGCTCCATGCTGCTAGTGTGGAGCCTGCTTAGGATTCTCTCCCTCCCTCCCTCTCTCCTCCCTCTCTCTGCCCCTCCCCCACTTGTGCATGTTCTCTCAAAATGAATAAACTAAAAAAGAAAAGGCATAAAAAGTAGATACAAGAACTTACAAGGCTTTGTGGTTTTTACTCATTTCACATGCAGTTCAATACCTTTTACCTAGAAAGCCTCAAACAAACACTGCTCTTACACCACTAAAATAAAAAGTGAGAGAAAATTATAGAATATCTTAGAAAGTGTTCTTTCTGAAATTAAAGGTTTTAGGCATTTGGACAATTAAATTTTATGGAAACATTTTGTGAATATACTAGTTACAGGAAGCAGTGCTAAATCGAGTCCCCTAAACCATGCGGCAAAGAGGGTACTGCCCCTCATGAGGTGTGGGGGCTGATGAGCATGGCTGTGTGAAAGATGTGTTCTTCACTACAAAAAAGTCACCTAATTAAAAAATAAAAATGACATTTCAATTTTTGTGGCCAATTTGAAAAGCATGAAAATGATAATAAAATCAAGACATGGAAAACTTCTTAAGAGCTTCGTTTTCCTACCAGAGTTTAAAAGACAGGTAGTATGAAGTCCTTGCTACTGACAGTGTGGGCCACAGAGCCGCCAGAGCTGCCGACGCCACAGGAGTAGCAGCAGCACCTCCCGGGAGCCCATTAGAGATCCCGAATCTCTGCCAGAGTCTGCACTTTACAAGATCCTCCAGGTAGTAAGTATAACATTTAAGTTTGTGAAAAGCTCACGTGACATTAAAATAAGGAAGGTTACAGAGTCTCCCAATGATCCAGTATCAACACCTGGTGCCACGTTTTGCAATCCATTGTCAAATAAACGGAGAACAATTCAAAATGATTTAATTTGGTTTGGTCATAAAACTTAACCTTCATGTCTTACTCTGAAAGTCTTCTGAATAGAACCAAAATGTCAAAATTCTAGGATTCAGGTGTGTACACAGCCAACTGAGAGGCCTCAAAATATTTTTCAATATTCTGGAAAAGCAGCTTATGCCCTGATTATTTTACAGGACAACAAGCGACGATTGTAGTGGGAAACATTAAGGATTAAAGAATGCCAAGTGTGAAACGGATGAACGACTTAATGTTTTGACAATAATCTACTTCACAATTCTATTTCAAAAAATTATTGTGGAACAGCAAAACTAGTAATCAAATAATGTGGTT